TCTCTCTCTCTCTCTCTCTCTCTCTCTCTCTCTCTCTCTCTCTCTCTCTCTCTCTCTCTCTCTCTCTCTGTGCGGGATTCATGGGGAGGATCGGGATGGTTGAAGATAGGACGGCAGTAAGGGAGGAGGCGATCATGATGCGCGTGTGGGACTATTGATTGGCTGGACATGGGATGGATAGCGAACGTGGGTGGGTGAGGATAGGACGTGGAAAGAAGGGAGAGGAAAGGGATGGAGGAAGCGAGACAACTGGGGTAACAGAACAAAGATGACGTGGAAGGGCACTGTTCCATGCTTTGTGTTTCTTTTTTTTCTTATTCGAACGGTAGTATGTGAATCATGAGTCGAGCGTTCTGCTTGTGATAACGTGGAACGGAGCGGCAGATGCAGGGCAACATCATGCCTCCACGAGAGGGATGATAACGCGGAAGGGACTGGGGAACAACGAGCAACAGAGGAAGGAGAGAGAGCCAAAAGAGACGGAAGAGGAGACACAATCGGGCTGAAAAACGAAAGATGACCTAGATGTCGAATGGAGAGCATTTTTTTTCCCTGAGAAAAACCGATGAATGATCACTTGGAAGCGAGGGGAGGAAAGAAGGATCAGGTGGCAATGAAATGATGACATGCAAGAGGAGGCATGATAATGCAAAGGGCCAGCAAAAGATGGAACAAGGAAGACAACAAGGGTGAGAAAAAAAAAATGCATGGAAGGGAGGGAAACACGGTGAAGTGGATGGAGTTTGCCTTTCTCATTCGGTGTGTTCGTTATTCTTTGCATCCCCTTCTCCATCCACCCTCCTGCTGTCCCCGTTCGCCTTCTGTTCTTTCATCCGCTCGTCCCCCTTCCTCTCTGCGCTCTTTCTCATTCCTGTGCTGCGGCATCGCCGCGGTGGGTTGACTTGTACTACTAACAAATACATACGAATGAGCGTCATTAAGCGAATAGACGATCTGAAGATCAGAAATGAAATGAACGGAAGTACGAAGATGAAGGACGGACACAGAGACTGTATAAGCTGAAGATCTGAAGTGAAATGAACAGGAGTATGAAGCTCTGAAGAGATGCACAGGAGCCACCTTCCCTTTTACTCTGTCTCCTGAAATAACGTGCAAATGGGCCGTGAAGGCACACGGGGATGTGGGCAGCTGCCGCTCGACCACTATCAACGTGGGCAGCCTTGTGCGTAAGAGGCGCAGTAAAAGGGGAGCTGCAAGAACAATGAAAGGGGTACCCCAAGGACAACCAAAAAACTGTCTAATTGTAAAATTGCTTTAATATGTTGGACATCTCAAATGCTCTCGTTGTCTGCAATAAGACAAAGACTGCACCCTCAGTCATCAAGGTGTGGTCGTTCGACAGCCTTGACGCATTGCACAGCTCAATCCTCATTGTCCAGCCTTCAGGATGCAGAGTAATTGCTGCTTGAGTAGCCTTGCAATAGGTCAGCAGTTATCCATGTTTTTCCTAAATTTTCCTGAACTCCTTTAACAGTTCTAACTTCTCAGATTGTTCTTAGCAGAAGCCAGGTAATGGGCCTGGTATTTCAAATGATTTTCTATAATTCTATATGGGACGCTGGGCCCAGTTCCCAGCACGTGTTGCTCCCCACGAATAGACTGGAGCATTTCTCCCAAAAAACGAAAAAAAGAAAAAACAAAAGAGATGGTGTGTGTGCCAGGTGGGTGTGTTGATGTGTGTGTGTGTGTGTGTGTGCGTGTGTGGGTCACAGTGGGTGTGTGTGTTCTGTGTGGGTGAGTTTGAGTATGTGTGAGCGTAGTTATGTTTGCTTTACACAACTCACAGAATGACTCAGCCAGACTTTCGTCGGACTTCCACCGACTCATCAGGAGGTTGAACCCCAACAGTCTGCCCAAGATGCATTGTACTGATGGCCAAGGACTCACCACGTGTGCGTGCATGAGTGTGTGTGTGTGTGTGTGTGTGTGTGTGGGGG